AGTCTTTTCCTACCTCTATTGCAGCCTTCAAGGCTTTCATGGCACCTACAACTTCTGCATCAAATACCTCTGCTCCGGGAAGTGGACCGGAGCCACTTGCAACTAGCTTGCCTCCTTGGTATACTACATACCCCCAGGCTGATTTTCCGGGACCAGATGATGATCCATCAGAGAAAGCGAAGACCGTGTTAGCTGGATGGGAAGCTAACCACCGCTTTTTGCTTCCAGACCTAGCTTCATTTTCTCGACTACATGGAAATGATGCTGGAGTACCACGTGGGAAGTATAGCTTTCCGGGGCCTTTGGCTGTCGGAACTCGACGCACACTCATTTTTAGGCGTGTCATGTACCGTTTTGGTTGTCTGAACAATCGATCTCTTTGTCCCGATCTAAGACCTAAGCGTCTTATTGTCTCTTTCGGATCCTCAGCCGCCCGAATGGCTAGAGGGTGCCAGGCATCCATTCTTCGCATACGAGCTGCCGACCGCAGCATCTTCTGCTGAAGAATTATCGATGCCGGGGGTATTCCTGCTTCACGATGAAGAGCACCATTGAGAGTGGTACGCCACGCTGGGAGTGCTACTCTAATAGCTTTCATTATCGTTTTTTCCAATACAGATATGTGCCAGCCTACTCCAGTGCCGACTTCTTTATCTCGCAGTGTGGTTATTCGAGTGAGACCTGGCCACCACGCTTCTGCCCCGTATAGAGCTGTGCTCAGAACGCATGCATGTACCGCACGAATCAGAGGTCCAGGTGCTGCACCACGTTGAACTCCGTTTATATGTCGTAAGAAATGGACTAGACAATTAGCTTTTCCAGTCCATTCCTGTACATGTTGCTTGAAGTTTAGCTGGGTATCAAGCCAGATTCCTAGCCACCGGATATAAGGTGACGGTTCGATCCGGCGATCTTTCACCAAGATGGAAAGATCAGCCGCGTTGATTTTCTTTCTAGGCCCTCCTCCGGTCACTAGAAGTTCTGACTTTTCTGGGTCAAAATCGATCCTGTGTTCTCTTGCGAGAAGGATAAGGCTGTCGAGGTCGTCTTGAGCTGCGGAGATAGCATCCGCCGCGGTGTTTCCAATTCTGACAATAGCTACATCGTCAACATAACCAAACCTACTCGTTAGACCGTGATCCTCAAAAAGCACAGCAATGTAGAGCATGAAAAGAAGTGGCGATAGTGGCGAGCCCTGAGGTACTCCACATTCCAGTATCTTCTCTTGTGTGATTCCACCGTGGTATTTGACCTGAACCTTTCGTTGGCAAAGAAATGTCTGAATAAACTGGCACAGGGATCGTGGCCAGCCTTGTTCTCGAAGGCGTTTGAGCAGTCGGTTGTGAAGGACTGCATCAAATGCACCTTGAATGTCGAGTGTGACCATAGCCGCACACTTACCACTTCTCATGGCCGCCTCAGCATCATGGATTACACAGGATGCAAGGTCGACTGCAGATCGTCCTGGTACGGAGCCGAATAGTTGTGGGTGAACAACTTGGTGACTTATTGTCAGCCATACCATTCTCTTACCAACTAGACGCTCAAGTCCTTTACCTAAACTCGACAACAGCGAGATTGGTCGCCAACCCTTGGCAGTTGACAGATTTCTACCCGGCTTTGGAAGAAGCACAACTTCTGCCACCCTGAAGGCCGTGGGAAAGTAGCCGATTTTCAGACAGGCCTGGTTAAGATCTTTCACGAGAGGTCCTAGATGGGACCAACAGGCTTTCAGTAACCGTACCGTTATCTTGTCCGCTCCCGGTGCCGTGTCGTTGATAGAGACAGTGGCGCTTGTCACATTGTCCGGTGATATTTTCGTATTCCGAGTAGATATATTGTTCTCGCCGCTAATCCTTGCCATGAGAGTGTCTCGTAGCGCACAAGCTCACTATCGCGGGTCAGATAGCCACCGGTTTTCGTCAATCTGCAGAGGAGGGGGCTTAGCAGCTGGTCGAGACTTAGCCCATCTCATGAGCTTGAATACCTGTGCGTCAGTAGTCACTGCCTCTACTTGCCTCTTCCAGTACTCTCGCTTGGCTTTTCGAACCACGGCTCTAAAGCTCTTGCGGGCCTCTTCCGCGAGGTCAGGGTTGTCTCTCGCTGCCTTGTACTCTTGCCATTCTGTGCGACATTCATTGGTCCACCATGGCCCAGTTCTTCCGCTTTCGATGGCTGGGACTTTCCCTGCAATCTTGAGCGCATCTCAAAGTGCTTGTAGGAGATCATCTGTGAAGTTTTCGATGTTGACAACACTTTCGAGAGGGCCAGATTTGGTCCATTGGCTAACGCATTGGCTGAATTCCTTCAAGTTGGCGTCGCTGGCACGAATGTTTTTACAATTCCAGAGAGATCTGACACTGTAGGGTTATGCACGGTACCTTTGATGATCGAGTGATCTGAGGTACAGTGGTAGCGGCTGCACACAGATGCTACAGCGGCCGTGTTGCTCCACGTTAGATCTAGGACGTTCCCATCCCTGTGCGTTGGCTCTCCAACAATGCTGACTAGGTCCATGTCGTGGGCTGTTGCCCATTCTATAATCTGGTTACCATTGCCGTACTGATTTGTTGTTTGCGGTTGCAAATGCTGTGACACAGAATTGAAATCACCTCCAACAACCACTAAACCTCTAACTTCCCACCGGAGTAGGGGCTCCAAGGTTCCACTAGTGCCTGGGGCACGGTAAACGTTGACAAAGGTTAGGCTGCCCATCTTTACAAAACAGTAGTCAGATGTCGGGCCTAACAACGATGGAAATAGTTGAGTTGCATGACTACCTTTGCGCGTGAAATTTATTGCGCGGAGCCGGATGTCTGTTCCTCCGAATGGTATGTGGCTATTGTAGCCAGGGTGACTTTTTGTTATAAAACCACCCTCTTTCTTTCTTGTCCATGGTTCCTGTACCATGACTACATGTGCACCGGCATCCCATGCCTGCTGCACTGCTATATCCGTGTTTTCCCCACCTCTTCCGACATTCACTTGGTGAAAGTGGATGGTGTTGTACTTGCCTTTTGGTGCTTTTGTTGAGGGGTTTCCTAACATTAAACGACATTGTTGAGTCCTGGGCAATGACGGTTTCAACCGCCTTACCCTTCCTTTCAGAGTACGCTAGAGCAGCATGATAATCACGATGTCCGCGTTCTCTGATGATGTGAAGTTCTGCCGGGGTGCGGGGCAGAATTATCCCGTTTTATCGTCTTGGCCGGGCCATATAGCTGCCCTCATCTGAGTGGTGAGGTCCCGCGCAATTTGAGCACTTTGACACCTTTTCCTGGCACTCTGATATCTCATGGGTTCCCCCACATCTCCCACATTGTTGGCTCTGAGTACAGGAACGCGTTGTGTGGAATCCCCAGCAACGTTGGCATTGCTCGATTGGTCTTCGGCGCGAGAATGGAATTGCTGGTCCGCTCTCGTCAAAGAGACGAAACTTTGTGTTTGCTGGTTTTTGTTGGAAATAAACAATCCAGCTTGTTGAGCATTGCCCAAGCTCTGTTTCTATGGGCCTTACCTGGATTGGTGTGGCGCCGCATACAGCCTGACACTCGTTCTTCACCATATCGTTGGTGACTGGGATGCTGCCTTCAAGCGTCCTGATGTACAATGGCACATGAGTTACGATCAATGATGTCCATTTGGACGCTTCCTCAATCACGGTGTTGTCTTCCTGTAGGGAAGGTGCAATCCTCATGATTGTATCTCTCAATGCATCTGATGCGCATTTGAGAGCGATCCCCGACCTGACTGGGTACATGGAGGTGATAGCTGAGGCTGCTATCCTAGCCTTGTCAGTTATTATTTTCTTGATTGTAACTAGCGAGAGCTTGTGCCAGTGGTGATCTCTCCCCAATCGAAGGAACAGGCGTTTGTCCTCCTTTTGGGTTGTCTGTGGTTTCGGGTGGCTTGATGGAGCAGGCCTTCGCGGAACTTGCACATTTGGTGGTGTCGGTAACTTGGCCGCTTTGCGGGCTACTGTCACCCAGGGCGAGCTGGTATCTTGAGGCTTTGGGGGTAGAGCGTGGCTGTGATCCTCAAGAGCTGTATTTTTCCTAGGCGCGACTGGTTTTGGAGTGCTTGCCATGGTGGGGGGCTTCTTACTTGGAAAGTTAGATGCTTCTACCTGATCTACTGCGAAGGCAGTGATAACAGGCGTGATGTTTTCCAGCAGAGTCGCGACAACTGCTGCTGCTTGTTTCTATTCTTTGCTCTTAGCCCAGGAGTCAATTAGTTCTAGAAATTCCTGGGCTATATCCATTCTTTCTTTCCGTTGTTGTTCTGCTTTGTGTATTGTATTCACAATGCCAAGCAGGCTTGGGTGAAGTTTCCCTCCTGGATCGGAGGGCGTTGTCGATGACGATGCAACAGCTTGGGCCATTGCACCGATTGAAGATTCTTGTAAATAAGGGTAATGGGTGATGCAATGTGTTAGGAGTCAATGTGTAGCGATATGTGCTTCGCAACTTCTTGTACTATAAATATAGTTCATTTTACCTGATTTGGCGCCTTGAGGCCCATACAGGTATTTATTGGAAGATATGTACTTTAAGTAGGCTGACTCAATTTGAAGTTTAGAACACTCACACTCAGATTTCATTTGCAGATACCACTCGAGATTAACCCTTACGGCGTATAACCTCTTCCGTGCATACCCACCACAAGGAAAAGCGTGAAAAATCTGTGGCTATCCGAGTGTGCTTTCATCATCCCACAAGTATAATATCACCACGAGAGAGAGTGGTGTGTGGGTCTGACTAGATTTGAACCAGCTTTCTCCTGTCTCGAATGGGGTAGGTGTTCAAGCTACTCAGTATCTACTTGAGAACGGCCGGGATGGTGTACCACTGCACAATCCAACCCTTCTTGTACTATTCTATTTCATCCTGATCTGCCATAGTTAGATTATTTGATTATGCGCCATTAAAATCCACACTATCGAAATGCAAATGCTTTTTCATCGAACTCTTTTAGGGACGAACAGAATTAAATCTAAGTTTCTACCCAGTGTTTGAAGTTGGGATACTTATAGGGATGATCCTAGAAGCGGGCAAAGTTGTTGGCTCGAATGGATATTGTCTATTTTGAAGTACAGCCTTTACCGAAAGGACTTCCTTATTCCTCGTAAATCCCGCAGTTATTAGGACCTCAGAAGTTACCAGACATAAGCATTAGAAGGAAATAGTGTCTTGTCAAAATAGCATTGCGTACCAAATGAGGTCTTCATTTTAATTCTGATGTATCCTTTGCGAAGTTGCGCCTCGTGATCGAAATTTGCGGGCATATTTTCGGCCACTTTAGCGTATGCTTCATCAACTGCTTCATCTACGTACTTCCCGCCCACAACATATCTCTCACATTTGTAGTTTGAAGTCGCAAGTACAGGCGTCAGAAAGTTCAAAATAGCTGCCAATGGAACAAGACTGAAGATCTTCATATTGGTGTCGTCATGTATAACAAATGTTGCTAATATCTTGTTGGAATGACTTGATTTATTGATAAATTTGATCTCTCAGTTCAGTCGGTTTTTAAAAAGGGAGGAATTGTAGGAGCCGTGCGGGAGTCTCAAGCAGTTTCTTTATGGATGGTATTGTAAGCTGCAGTAGAGACTGCGAGCTGGAGAAAGACCTTGAAGTGGGATAAGCTCTCTTTAGACACAAAGGGTGATGGTTGATTCTTAAATTAAAAAGATCATATTATACATCAACTAAACAGCTTGTACCAATACACCCGTAATCTAGCGTTGAATATTAAGGCCTTAGACTGTAAAATGAAGGCTCTTGTTGGAAGTGAAGTGTAGAAAGCTAGACAGGAACATGTCTTAAGAGATGGTATGAATACTAGATGGGAGGGCAAGACTGAACACCTGTACGCGGTGTCCTCTACGAACCTGGGAGTGAAATATTCTCCCAGAGCCAAGTTCAGTCAAATTTCGCAATATCAATGAAGTTGGCCTGCTAGGCAAAAATTCAAATTACTCTTCCACGTCGTTTTTTCGCTCTTAACGAGTTTGACTCCTACCTAAGCCTCACCAAGTCTACAAGTACGACCGAGTACATTCTCATCCCAATGACCATACCTCTCTCCGGCCTTCTCTGCCCTCAGTTGACCACCAAATACACGCCCACGCCGATATTTACACCCGACAGAGGAAGCATAGCGTGGAGCACAAATCAGGGATATAGCTCTTTGGGATGGACGTGAGAGGGATTCAGGACAAGTTTTCAAGATGTTGCAAAAGAAGGATATTACCTCGAAGGGCATGAAATTCTGAATTTTGGCAAGGAGTTTTACGAGCTGAGCTTTGTGCGCGTCAAGACTTCGCTTGTGAGAGTGCAGCTGACACTATAAAAATAAGTAGACGATGGAGAGTGCGGGCGACACTATAAACACCGCCATGATTGGATGGTGCAGTGGTACATCATCTTGGCCGGTCTGCCAAGTAAGGTCTGGATAGCTTGGACACATATCCCACTTGAGACAGTAGATCGCTGGTTCAAATCTAGCCAAACACAACCACATTTCTCGCGGCGCTGGTATGCATGGATGACGAAGGCATGCTTGGGTAACCAAAGGTTTTGAAACGTCCCTTTGGTGGATACTTACGGAGGAGGGTCGACTGTTTGTGTAAGCAAGCATACCTCATAGTGGTATTTGCAAATGAAATCCAGAGTATGAGTGTCTCTAATGTCAAAAGAGTCATCCAACATGTATACATAGTACTGGTCACGTGTCATAGCTCTATAGCTGAATACATATTAAATGATTTTGAAAAAAAAAAAAAGTTGACAATGGCGTTCCCCTTGGTGGGTATTCACGGATGAGGGTTGACTTTGGGTGAAGAAAAAGTCTCCTTAACTTCACAGTGGTGCTTTCAAATGAAATAGAGGCATTTGTATTTTACGGTAGTCAAGCTGATCAGGCCCGGCCCAACTCGTGCTTGAGTTCCAGGAGTGCGTTGAGTGTGATGTTTCCTAGCACGTTGATAAACAAATAAAAATATCCACAAGAATCAATCAATTGATTATAACGACAATTCTTAGGCCCTGTTACAGGCTAGGCCAGGCTGGGTTCTGGCTGGGCTGTTTAAGGCTATAGGGCCCATCCTTATCTTGAGGGCTCAAGCGAGTTTGTAAATCTTCTCACTATACAGGGGTACTATCAGATCACGTGTAAAGGGCAAGGGTATCTGGAACAGGCATTGTAGTTATAAAGAGCCATAGCTTCCCGCTCGTAATTTCTTCATAGAAAATATAAACATTTAATTGTGGCATTGCTTTCGTGCATTGGCCGAAAGTCCTAGCCTGTCACATATATTTTCTTTCACAATTCTTTTTAATCTCTCCTTGGGATATAGCCCGAAGAATTATTCTAGGTCATTATAAACCCTATTGAGCGAAAATCGGATGTCACAAAGTTTAACAACCTTTATTACTCTAATCTAGAGTTGTATTTGCTGAACTCAGAATACCACGACGGCAACCCAGTAATGTAGGGGTCGATAGTTGCGGATTCATGGGCCGAAATCCCTGAATTCGAGTGCCACAAAATGGCAATTCTCATGAGAGAGAGACGTGCCCGAGAGTCCACCTCAAGTCCAGCGAAATTGAAAGGAAAGGATGTTCACATATTATCTACAGGCGCAAGTCCCATTATTTCGATATCACGAGCGGTATTACCAAAGTGGAACAGCAGACAAGAAGACTTTGACTTTTATGTTCAACAACTGATGGTGAGAATAGAAAGGGAAGAAGTGCTTGGATTAGATGCCAGCACAATCTGCTTGGACATCATAGACATTCTTCCAGAAGAAAAGATGCCATGGGTCGCTGCTTGGTTTAAAGATTCTGTAGACAATGGAATGTTCGACTGGCAAGAGTTTATAGATCATCTTCGCGTACAATTTCAAGATAACCAAGCTTGTCAGGCTGCCGTAGAAATGATTCAGCGCATGGAACAGGGATATAACCAGCTCTTTCAGGATTTCCTCAAAGATTTCGAATACCGGATGGCTTTGTGTAGGGACCTATTTACCTTGTTGGGAAACACAACACAGCTGAATCCATCTCTGAATGTGCGCTTACGCCGAGCTCTGGTATCTGTTGATCTTCCCTCCACGAGTAATTATAAGGAGTGGGTGACTAAGGTTAGCAAGGTAGCAGCTAAGCTGGAAGCATTGGCAGAGTATCGATCAAATAATGCAACACAAACAGAAACCTATCTCGGAACACCTAATAGTGGTAGCACTCTAAATTTGTCAGATGAAACCAGTGTAGAATTGGATGAGCATCGCGGTAAAGTAATGACGGGAACTAGCGCACTTCTGGCCGCTGCCATGCAGGAATTGAAGTCACTGAGAAAAATTTCAAATCAGCAGGGCCAGGTCAATAGGGATATAATCAAGTCAGATGATAGGCCTAGAGCACCTCGGCGCAGCAAAAACGCCCTCAACAAACTTTCTATCAAAGGGATCTGTTTCCACTGTAAAAAGACTGGGCATATAGGACAGAGATGTCCAAAATATCGACCAGCAAAGAGTTCTCAAATAGGTGTCACTTCAGCAGAGTTTGATCAAGAAAAGTCTGAAAGCTCTGTATGGGAAAACAAGGAATCGTCGAGAATGGACACAGCTCAGAAAAACTTAGAAAATTTGAATAGCCCACCATTGTTAATATATGGTTTAATTAACGGATCATTTTTCATTAAAGCTATGGTTGATACTGGCTGCCTTTGTTTTGCTGTAATCGACGAGAACCTTTTGCGCAAGTATGACTTGTATTCCGAAAATATTTCCCTGCGTCATTTGCGGTTGGCAGACAGAACTTAAGCAAATAGAATATTGCGGATGATGCGTATGAAATTGGACATAGATGGTTGAAAAGAGCAAATCTGGGGTTATGTTATGCCAAATTTAGCGTATCTTATGATATTAGGGAAGCCATGGATGGAGTATAACAATGTAGTATACTCGGCAAAGCAAAGATCATTAGGTATTGGAAGCAGAAAACTTGGAATGGTAGTTCGAGCGAGTGATGGGTACGAGCAAGTCTCACCAGCCAGTATTAGGGACCGAATTTCCTACGTCCAGGTTGAACAGGTAGCCCAAGTATCAGAAGGAGACTTTCTCAAAATAGTTCAACAGAGGGGCAAGATAGACGGACCTATCATCGGGGCTGTCTTTATGCACGATATAACGCGACCTTTGGAAGTAAAAAGGGTTTGCTCATATAGTGAAGTAAAGGAAACTCTACCGAGGGAGATCAGAAAATACACGAAGCTATTTGAAGATGATGGAGTGATAGATGATCACACACTTCCACCTCATAGACCTGGAGTGGATACCAAGGTCAGACTTCAAAAAGATGAACAGGGACGAGAAAAAGAAGTGCCATGGGGTCCCTTATACGGGATATCTCGTAAAGAACTGTTAGTACTGAGAAAAACCTTGACAGAATCAATTGATAAAAATTGGATAAGAGCCAGCAGCTCTCCAGGAGGAGCACCGGTTTTGTTTATCAAAAAACCGGGAGGTGGCCTCAGATTTTGCGTTGATTACTGTCACAGGCTCATACCTGGTTATCATTAGGCTTCTGCCTAACAAATAAGGCTTGAACTCTTCCAACCATATTAAACATCATGCATGTCATGAACCCCTCCGCAACTCATTAGACCCAAGTATAGGCCTTGGCCCAGTTCATGCAAATCTATTCTTAAATGACAAATTTAGATTGCAGACAGGACGACTCGAACACCAGTCGTGATTCATCTAAGCCACATGCATCATAACTATTTTAATAACTAAAATTACTAACATTAAAATGAAGCTGAATTAAAATAGACGGAGATGCTGGTGTTTGTCGGAGGACAGGTCATGATCTATTTTGAGAATGGTATGAAATGAGGGAACGAGATCATAGTCTTGTAAATAAATAGGAGGCTTTCAGTCATGTCTCTGCTCGTTACTTTAAGATTTTCATTTGTATCTAGCTCTGAGTTCAGTTTGAATAAAACGCCACTTTAAGACCGTCACAATTACAGAGCGCTTAATGTATTATCTGAATGGGATCGCTACCCATTACCCCTGACTGGTGAAACAATCCAGATGCTATCAAATGCTAAGTGGTTATCAAAGGTAGACGTTCTCTCAGCGTTCCATAAATTGCGCATGGCTAAAGGAGACGAGTGGAGGACAGCGTTCAGAACTCAATTCGGCTCGTTTGAGTAGTTGGTGACCCCGTTTGGATTGGCAGGCGCGCCGGCCGCATTCCAAAGATGGATTAACAAGGAGCTAGGGAACCTACTAGGCGTTACCTGCTCTGCATAAGTGGACGATGTGGTTATTTTTACCGATGGGGATCTGGAAGACCACTGGCAAAAGGTAAATCAGGTTTTAGAGCGACTTTATAAAGCGGGCCTAAAGCTTGACCCATTAAAATC